GGGAGGGCAACATTCCAGCCACGGAGATCATCAGGGATCGCCATGGCAACGGGGGTGCAATTAAGGCCTGTTTCAGCTGGGAGCAGCTGTGCGCACTTTATCTGCCTTGAATAAGGAGGAGAGAAAAAACCTGGGGAGGGAACGGGGTGGAGAGGCGGAGGGGGGAATGGCAGTCCTTTGCAGGCCTCTTCCTGTTCCAGAGAAAGAGGAGAGGGGGAGGGAGGAGAGGGGGAGGGAGGCCAGAGGAGCCAGAGCCGAACATAGAGAGCCACTCAGAGGGGAAACTGAGGGACGGAGAGCCTCGCAGAGACAGAGACATGCCCACCGATACACAGAGACTGACAGACTCGTGCAGAAAAACAGACACAAGCACAAAGAGGGAAAAAGAACAAACTCAAGTCCTAATAGAAAGGCCCTATCAGACACAAGGCCAGAGCACCCCTTCACCACGCTTCTCCCCACTTTCCACAGACGAACTATTTCCTAGCCACAGCAGGGCCTCTCAGACACGCGTGGTCACATGTGTACGTACACACACATGCATGCACACGCACATGCATGCACACACACAAATGCACACGTGCAAATGCACATGCAAACTCACTCCAGCCTTTGAGCCTTTGCTTCTCTCTTGCCCTATTCTGGCCACACCTAGGGCCTACGCTCCTGAGCCTCCTCCTCTAGGAATCCCTGGTGCCCCCAAGGACTCCCCTCCCAGGCAGGGACTTCAGCACCTTCAGCCCCCCTGCACCCCAGTTCTCACTACCTGGAGCAGGCCCTACTGAGGGCCTGCATGTGGAAGGAGGAATGGAGGGCAGGGGATAGTAGGCAAAATCAAGAGCCACGCATTAAACTAGGGATGCACCTTGAAGTTAAGAATTCAAGGCCCAATCTATTCTCTCCTGGCTGGGCCACAGATTCCAAATTCCATCTTTGTATCACCTTTCAGCAAAGGTATGTCAACTGTCTTGCCTAGCTGAAGGAGGGAACTTGACTTGTGCCACCTGAGACCAAGGAATGGAGCCATGCATTTAGAATGGGCTAGTCGAGTAGCTTGGTCTTAGGAGGTGAGCTGAGAAACTTTTGTGGCCATACTTTGTCCCACAGGTTGTAGACGGATCTTCTTCCAGCTGGATTGGCACACATCTACCTCAGGGCCTTTGCACTTGCTATCTATCTGCCTGGAAGACTCTTCTTCCACATGCTCACTTGGTTTATTCCCTCATTTCCTTCAGGATTCTTCTCAAATGTCACCTTACCAGAGAGGCTATCTTTAACCATTCTATATAAAATAGCTGTCCCCTGACCCCAGGGCCAGCATCCTCTTCCCCTTAGTCGACATCACTGTTTCCATCACCACCCAACCTAGCACATCATGACTTGTGCATTTTTATTGATGGTCTCCCACCACTTGCCTGTGTGCTTCATGAGGGCAGGGACTTTGTTTGCTGCTCCATTTCCAGATCCTGGAATAGGACCTGTCACCCAGTGCCAACGGGCCACACAGTGAATCCTGTAAGCATGCAGGAATGGGTGGCAGTGTTTCTCTCATCCGCCTGGAGTCATGCAGCCTCATGGAAGAATTGATTGGATTCCTAGTGCCTTTATGTCCCTGGGTTCCATGCAGTTGCATCCTGTCCTCTCTCTCTGTCCCCATGAGCCCCACTGTCCAGACCACACTAGTCCATTCATTGGCCCTGAGAGGTAACTCACTCTTTCTCCATGTCTTGAGTTGACATCCTTCATCTTCTCCCAGGATCTGAATGCCACCTGCCTAAAAAGGTTCAGGTGCCCTCTTTTCACTTCTCCTTCCTCAAAGCTATCTCTCTCCAGTGGACACCACGGCCCCTGGCTAGGGGTCAGGAGCTGTGGGTTGGTGGCCTGGTTCTGCTACTGGCAAGCTGTGACTCTAAGCAAGTCACCTTATCTTCCTGACATTGTTTCTTGGCTGCAAATCAAAGGCATGCAACTGTGTCACCAAGGGCTCCTGTTTGGGCAGACCCTTTGGGGGGCTTGTTAGTTTGCACCTGCCGGCATCAAGAAGTCATTGGGCTCCTTGTCTAGTTGACTGCCCAGTGGCTGCAGCTTGTTGGCCGAGAGCTGGGTGGGTAGTGTCTGCTGAGCTGTGTCATGGGAAACTGGCTCGACACATTCTGAAGAGCCAGGAACAGGCCCCAAGCCGTGCTTTCACTCCTAAGGAACCAGGCAGTCAGAGATGAGCGCTCCTGGGAAGTGCACAGAGTCTGGAGAAAGGGCATTCTGAGGCTGCCAGACCCACGCAGGCGGCAGGGTGGCCGCATCTATTCCTGGCAGTGCCCTTGAAGGTGGTCAGAGCGGCTCATGGCAGTTCCCGCCAGCCTCCCAGATGTCAGAGGACTGTTGGGGGCCACTGCCTGCAACTAGGGCCCACGCAGGAGAGGAAAGGGGGTGGTGGGGGCGGCCCCTCCGCACCCCCAGCCAGTCAACAAATGGCTCGTACTTGGACATGCTCCGGCTCGGGCACCAAGGGCAGAGCTGGGGAAAGAAGGAGGCCCACTCGGCTTCGGAGGAGACATCACGGGGCCGTCCACAAGAGGCAGGCTGGCCAGAACGTTCTTCCATCCTGGGGGACGTGTGGTCAGAGGGGCTTCTCATGGGCAGATGGGTTGGAGCCTCACCCCATCCTGTGACCTCCCAGAGGAGAAACAGCCCTTGAGACCAGTCCAGGCCTCTGACTCCCATGGCCACTGTGGGTCTCGAGTCCTCTGGTGACAGGAGACTCACTCCCTCTGGATTCAGACAGGACACAGATGTGTGGTGGCACCATAGAAATTCTGAATGATTCTGCACAATCAGGCTTTTGACCTCTCACCGTCCTGGCTCATTTTAATACGGGCAGCACTGAATACCAGCGTGTGATCAAGACAGGGTTCACCAGGGTGGCTCTGAGGAGAGACACATTCCACTCAGCAGAATGGATGCAGGGGTCCCAGGGAGGCCCCAAGAGCCCCTGGGGGATTGTGGAGGTGCTCGTGCATAGAGGTGAGGGGGACTCCCTCCCAGGGGTGCTGGCCATCGGGATGCTCAGCTGGTGTAGAGTGCTCCGACAGTGATAGAACGAGGGGCTGAATAAATGATGAATGTTCCCCCCAAGAGACATACAATCAATAAAAACTCAGGGACATTGGCGCAAACCTGAACACCGGGGCAGGTGCATTTCAGAAGAGAAGGTCAAAGTGCAGAAGGGTGGAGGGTGTAGACACCACCCCAGGGCCAGCAGGGCACAGCAGTTCTCTGTGCCTTCTGGCCACCAAGGATTTCCTGGGTGGCCCAGGGCTGCTGAGAAACTCCTGGAGCTGGGGGATGAGTCTGCGCAGAGAGGGAAATAAAAGTATTCGCCCCAGGCCAGCTGCTGGAAGAGTTCCGGGTCCAAGCAAGCCTGGGGATCTGGTCCCAGCTCTGAAAGTCAGGGTCAGGGGACTGTGGGTCACTGTCCTCCCTGTGTGTGTAGAGACACCCAGGGACACTCTGCCCCAACCTGGCTACCTCTCAGGGCCGTCCAGAGGATGCAGTGAGAAAACCCACTTGAATAAGGCCATTCACGAAGCCTCAACCAGGAGAATGAAACCTTGCCGTGACACTCAGGCATGACCTCCTATGACCTCAGCGTCGGTGTGCCTGGTGATTGGCTCTTGGACTCGAGAGCCTCTTGCCAGCTGGCTGCATTAGCAGCCCCCCCATTGTCAGTTCCTCAGCCTTACGATGTTAGGACCCTGCCTTCGCGGGACCAAATCCTTTTTTACGTTCACTTCTAGTGCCTTGGTGGGATTCACTGTCCTTCCTCACTTCCGCAATTGATCACACATTGCTGGGTAAATCGGCACAGTGTTCTTAAATGTGAACAAGCGAGTGAGTGAAGTCGCCTGTGCACTTGTCATGGTTCTCCTTTTTGGTGGAAGGTCTTTGAGGGGAAAAGAAAGGCTGATGTGTCTTGTGCTAATCACAGGGTTGTGCACTGAGAACATGCCCAGTAGTCCCGAGCTGGCTTCATTTTGGCCCCCGGCCACATCGTGGCCTTCCCGGGAGCAGCTGTCAGCCTAGCAGAGGTGCGGCACTTGGTAGACCCTTTGAAAACAGGGTTGACAGGGTTGGGGAGAAGGGGAGGGGGTAAAGAGCAAGGGAGAGGTAGGGAGGCAAAGACCGGTGAGAAGCCAAAGGAGAGTAAGTAATTGCGTTAATGATTAAAGATGTGTCAGTGAATATTTATCTAGTGCTTGCTGTGTGCCAAGAAGTGGGCTGCTGCTTTACGTGGATTCTCATTTGATTGTCCGCACTGAAGGCCAGGGCGGCTTTATAGGGGTGAAGCTCTCACAGAGAGGTTAGGGACTTTAACCGAGGGTACACAACACCCAAGTGGCACAGGCCTGTCCCTGTGGGATTAGCAGCCAAGGCTTTCCTGTTCCCCTTGATGCCGGGAGCCTGGCAGTGCATTTGGGAGCAATAGGCAGCCCTCTGTTCTAAGTTCTACGTGGCCCTTTGGCTGTGGCCTCCCAGAGAAGCATTGCTGGGTTTTAGGACGCTGGATGGCTGCACCAGTCACCCAGGCCCCGCCCAGTCCCTCCAGGCTAGGGCTGTGCATGGGAGGGGCCGGCAGGTGCTAGGCACCCCCACTGACCTCTCACTGGTCTGCGGAGTCCCTGGGCCTCCAGTACACCCTGCCTGCCTGTGGGTAGTGAGGGTTCAGAGGTGACGGGTGGCTGTGGTATTTGTACAGTTCCCAGCCCCCTCCTCACCACATACACACATACACACACCATTCCCAGCCCACCTGGACAGAACCTTACAACCCAGTTTGGTCTCTTCCTGCTGATGCAGACCCCCATGTTTATTTTATTTATTTATTTATTTATTTATTTATTTATTTATTTTAAGAAACAATTGTTTTATTTATTTTATTATTATTATTTTTAAAGATTTATTCATTTATGATAGAGAGGGAGAGGGGAGGTGAAGACACAGAAGGAGGGAGAAGCAGGCTCCATGCTGGGAGCCCGATGCGGGACTCGATCCCGGAACTCCAGGATCGCGCCCTGGGCAAAGGCAGGCGCCAAACCGCTGCACCACCCAGGGATCCTGACTTCCATGTTTAGAACCTTCTCTGGAGCAGTGGCAGGTTTGAGGGAAAGATGGTGCTAAAAAAAGTCCTAAGTCAGAGTCCTGGTTGTGCCCATCCCAAGCCTCCTTGCCCTCTCTGTAAAGTGGACGTGTAAAGCGCAGCCTTGGAGGGTTGTGATGAGAATAGAAGCTGATGTGCATATGGTTCCGGGCACGGCGTAGACACTCTGAGGGTGGATCATGAGAATGGGAAGAGGAGGGTGGTAGTGATGGTGGTAGAGAGGCCTGGCGGCACGCGGACCAACAAGACCCAGGCGGCCCTGCCCACTGTCTGCGTGTCCGCCTCGCCTGTCTCTCCTCTTTCAGCCTCTCGGGCGAAGCTCTGCAGGAGACACGCAATGATTCAGACCCATCCCTCCTTTTTCTCCCCAAGTTCCCTTCTTTCCCAGTTCTTATTCAAATGTCTGTCCCCTTCCCTGTCTCTGTGTCCCTCTGCCCCCTCTGTCTGAGTCTCCCTGGGTCTGTCACCCCATCTGCAGGTCTGTGTGCACGTGCCTCTCTCCCTGCCCACGGCTCCCTCCTCTGCTTAATCATTTGAACCACCGTGTCCTTGTAACTCAGCCAGACACACTAGCACCACCCAATGAGGTGACAACCCTGAGTTACAGGCACACATTTGGAAGCCAACACTGTGACTGACAGACCCCAGACCCCTCCTTAGTAGCCCCGAACACCCACTGGGACTCAGCTCCCAAACACCAGCAAAGCCCTCTTAGTTCTATTTCTGTTCCCAGTGGGGGACCAAGAGAGCCAGCCTCTCCCAGATCCCCCCCCCCGCCCCACCCCCCTGCTGTCATGCTCACTGGGGGACAGGGGGTGCTCCATCTCAGTGTGTGTGGCTGCGTCATCCTAGAGTCTCAGTCCCCCTTCCTCAGCAGGCTCTCTCCATCAGCCAGCAGGGGAGGCCCTGGGGGCTGCCCCTATCCCATCCTCAGGCTTCCTGCATTGTAGCAAGTGCACAAAGTTAGAATCACGCGGCCCCCTTCCCCCTTCCCACTGTGACAGGGCCCGGCCCAGGCCTCTGCACCTGAAGCCCGGCAGGCCTCCGCACACCCGAGAGCCCACATCCCACTCACAGGCTGTTCCAACAGCACCCTCTCCTGGAAAGTCCCCTTTATTTTGCGGAGAGTCAAACTCCAGCTACCTGGTGTCTTGGAAAACCTCACGGGGGAGAGAAAATAAGAAGAGGCAGGATGAGGTGGGGCCTCATCTGGGGGTCTGTGCCCTGAGCCTGTTGGCCCGTGGGCTGTGTTTGTGGACTCGGGTGGTACAGGGAAGCACCCTGTCCCCAGGCCAGGCGTGTGGAAACTGCCCCTTGTACTTCTCCACTTCTGCATCTGTGTGTCTGTGTGTATGTGTGTGTGTGTGGTTGGGTGGGTGGGTGTGCACACTCCTGTGTGCAGTGGATGGGAGGGAGAGTGTGTTTCTCCTGGGGAAGGGCAGCTCTCTTTATTATGGCTGTAACCTTGGCTTTTGGGTAGAGTAGGCCGGTGGGACTCTTTGGAGCCTGGGGCAAAGAATGTTATATTCGCAAGTGACCTCGGTGGGAAAGGTGGATCTCAGCACCCTGGCAGGACTCGCTGATGATGCCCCCTGCCTCCTCCCACAGTTGTCTCTCTGAGAGCCCCACAAAGCCTCAAGCCCCAGGCCCTGCCCAGTGGCCCACAGCGCCCCCTGACCTGTCCTCGGCTCTGGTCTCCTCGGTGCCTGAGGTGCTCCTCCTGCCCAGCCAGGAGTCAATGTGGGTGCAAGAGCATGCAGTGCAAGGTAGGCGCCCCAGGGTCAAGGGCTGTGGACCTGGTGTCTCACCCAGGCTCCCACGCAACAGTAGAAATACAGGAAATGATTGTGTAGCAGGTTCTGGCCTAGGCTGTTTACGTGTGCTAACTTGTTTAATTGGCACAGCCATCCATTGTGCAGATGAGAGCTCTGAGGCAGGGAGCAGTTAGTTAACTGTGGCCAGGCCACACCGCCAGCACCGGGCAGTGCCGAGATTCAAGGCCAGGCCTTATAGATCGTGAGGAGAGTCTCACAGATACATGTGACTGTGTGTCGTTGGGCCTATATTCAGTTACATAAACCTCTAAATTTTAGCATCTATTTTAGGGCTCTGCACTCAGAATATGCACTCTGAATATTTGTCGAATTGACGTCTTGCTGGGCATTTTGTGGTGGGCAGTAAATATCTGGTGTACGGAGGATGGATGTGTTGGACCATAAAGGGGCTGAGCTTATGAGTGTGGTGAGAGGCTCAGGATGCCACACTGGGGACCCCTGAGGCAGGACTTGGGGTTCTGCTCCCCACTCTCCCACATTTGTGAATACAGGGACTGGGGAACCTGGGGACAGAGGGCCCAGGGACAAGAACTCGACAGCCTCTGTCCTGCCTTCCAAGAACTGATGCCTAGTCTGCTCCCCACCCACCCTAGTGCTGTCACAGGGTGTGGGGTGGGTAGGGGGGTGGCAGAGGGGGCAGGGCAGAGGTGCAGTTGGGAGACCGTCTCTCACCTCCTTTTCTAACCAGAGGCTGCCTCGTGCATCTCCTTTCAAACAAGCAGAAGGATGGCCCCCATCTTTTCTTCCTCTACTTTTGTAAGCAAAGGGAGGAGGAGAAAGAAGCCCCAGGAGGCCACACCCGGCAGAGACAGGCAAGGGCTGGCCCCCTGCAATGCCCTGCGGCGTGGCGCTAATCCACAGGAGACAGGGCCTCCCAAGCCTCCCAGGCGGGCACACAGAGAACCAGGGTTCTCCCCGTCTAGGAGCTCACATTTGGGAAGACAGGAGCCGCTGGCTGGAAACCAAAGTGCGTTAGAGGGGGAGAGCACCGTGTGTGGAAGTCAGGCGGGGGTCGAGGGTCCAGGGGCATTTTGGAGTGTCGGTGAGGCCAGGCAGATAGGCACAAGCTAACCCAGCACATCAGAGGACGGAGGGTAGCATGGCTGGGGGCAGGCACTGTGGAGCAAAGTGGGGAGAGCTTTGCAGAGCAGAGGGGGTTGATTATGGAGGCCTGCCTGGGGCTCCTTGGAGAAGTCTGAGATTCCCAGTGCCTCCATCGCTGTGCACGTGGCTCCCACCGCCCTCCAGCAGTCTGTGCTACTGGCTGCCCAACCGCTTCTTAACAAATGTCCAGAGGAGGAGCACAGCACGATCTGTTTCCTGGTATTTGGAAGCGCGCCCTGTCTCCAGAAAGCAGCCTGTGTCTGGTTTCCTTCTCCCCAGAGTCACCGTGGGGCCTTTTCATGGCTCACTGTGCAGTTTGGGTAGAGCCCCGCTCAGCCGTATGGTGGTGGGATGGTGACTGGCACCCTCTGGTCCCTCCTGAGACCCGACACTGAACAAGCCTTCTCTGTTCCTAGAGGGGCTCTTGGCCCACCCAGCCATTAGTGTGCAAATGGACCATTTTCTGCTTCAAAGGGAAGATGATTTTTTCTTTCTGAGATCTGCAGTTTTCAAGTAGTCTCAAATGACTAGTGAGAATCAATCTGAGATCTAAGAGTTTGGTGCATGTTAGTGTGGGATTCTCAGCTGCCATCTTCATTTCTGTATGGCAAGAGCCAGCGGACGAGGGAGGGACCTCAGGCTTGGGGCTCCATAGAGCCCATGTTACTCATTTTTAAGATTTGTTCTTTTAACCGAACTGCTGCTGCTACTTCTTACCCCTCCCACCTCCTTCTCCACTCACTCTCCCCAAGGCCCTGTGCAATTCATCCTTCCTTCCCAAGTCTGGCCCTGTTCCAGACACCAGTGGGGAGCCCTGTGAAGGAGAAGCTCAGATAGAGGGCATTGTGTGGTCAAGGGTTCCCGCAGTTTAGACCTGGAGATCCAGGGAGGTTTAGAAGAGGGCGAATTCCTCTTCTAAGTTGCAAGTCAGGAGGGCTTCCTGAGGGAGGAGGACTAAATTGAGCCTTAAAGAATAGAAGACTCTCGGGGCCACAGGGAGGTGATCCGGCTGCCGTTCTGGGTCAATGGACATTAACTTTCTGTTTCACGTACACCTTCCCCAAAAGAGGGTGACCTTGTGAGATAGATGGTGACCATGAGGCAGACAGCCTGGCTCGAGACCATGGCCCCCTGCCTATCCCATCACCCACACCAGCATGGACTGGGCTGCCCCAGCCAAGCCACCCTGGCTCATTCTACCCCTCCTTCCTAATTGCACCATTATTGTAAAGAATGTCTTCCTTTCCGAAAAATTAGCCATCTCTTCTCTTCCAGAGTGTTCTTCTGGTTCTCGGGCCCCAATGTTGGAGAAAACAAACAGCCGGCATTTGTCTGCAGTCTCCCTACAACCAGTCCATCCATTAATGCTTTTACAGCCCCCCGCAGGCCTGCTCCCCTGTCCCCTTCCCAGGTTCTGTTCCTGATCCTGCTGCTGAGTTCTGGGTGGCAGGCGGGAGCTAGCTCGGTGCACAGTGTCTGAGGCCATTAGGAGAACAGGGAGAGGGCTGGGTGGCTGGAGCGTCCTCCAGGATCTGCCCCGCCTTCCATGGCAGGGAGGAGGTGGTTAAAAACAAATTCTGAGTTTTCCCTCCTTCAGTGGATGTGCAGAGTCACTGGTCCAAGGGAGGGGATTGTCAGAACAACTCTCAAGTCAGGAAGCCTTCGAAGTCAGCAGTGTGGTGTCACGATGCCCACGATAATCCACCCCCCTTCTGCGATTCATATCCCTCACCCCACTTGACAAACTGTCTCTGGGACCATCAGATCCTTTAAATGAGCTCAGGGGGAGAAAAAGGACAGTTCTTATCTCCATTTGCAACAGGGGAACCAGGGCTCAGAGGGTCTGCACACTTTACCCAAGGTCCTTGGAAGATGAGCAGGTGGGTGGCTAGTGGGTGGCTAGCTGGGCAGGAGGAGTTAGGTAGATGGGTTGTAGACGTCAGGAGGGAGGTGGGAAGGGGGGTGGGTAGTTAGCTTGATGGTAAGACTAGATGACATCAGCCAATGTCCTTCCATCCCGTCCTGTCTGCTCAGAGTAGTAAGCACCTGCCCCACAGAATGCAGTTAGTTGTATTTTAAATTGAGTCAGTGCCATCCACTAATTATTCCCTGCGGGCCTCACCTCCTCCGTGGAAGGGGAAAGCTTCTCCTCTGTCTCCCCCATCACTCTCGAGCCTGTATTTTTGGAGCTACAACTCAGGACATCTGGTCCGGCGTGGAGGAGGTGCTCCTCAGACAGTAGCACGAGTGAATCAGGGTTGCCCCGGGACTTCGAGGTGAGCTTGGTTGCTGCCCCGCTGGGCTGGGGACAAACTGGGCACCCAGCCATGGCCAGCAGGGCCTGCTGGGGCTGAGCGAGAGGCAAGGACATGCCTGCCCTTCGTCCGCGGTTCTCTAGGATGTCCTCAGAGCTCCAGGGGGAGCATGCAGCCCAGCAACCCTCCTCTCCACCTGGTTGTTAGTTCCAGCACGTTCCCTCTCACCAAGGCCCCCCAGCCAAGGCTGCTTGAAAAACTCCACCGGGAGCGTGTACAGGACACCTTGGGTCTAATGTAACATTTAATGGCCAAATCTCCTCAGGCCCCTGCATTAATACAGAGCTATCTTACTGGTTCTAACCAGACAGTGTCACACTGCTAATGGCTTCAGGGTTGAGTCTAGGCAAAAAGGAAGTGATGAAGGAGGTGGTGACTATCAATACCTGGCCATGGCCTTGAGAGGCAGAGGTGGGCTGTTGCTGGGGTCAGAAGTCTGCATGTGACCTCCAAAGGCGAGGCCCTGTCGGGTTCATCTCTATGTCCCCGGAGCCTAAGGGAAGGTTGTACTTGTAACAGGCATTTATTTTATTTTTTTTAAGATTATGTATTTATTTACGAGAAACACACACACACACACACACACACACACACACACAGAGGGAGAAAGGGAGAGAGGCAAAGACACAGGCAGAGGGAGAAGCAGGCTCCACGCAGGGAGCCCGATGTGGGACTTGATCCCAGGTCTCCAGGATCACACCCTGGGCTGAAGGCGGCGCTAAACTGCTGAGCCATCCAGGCTGCCCTGTAACAGGCATTTAATACACAGTGGCCGAGTGAATGTATGAATGAGAGGGGCCAATGTGCTCAAGATTCAGAGGTCTTGGACAAATATTTTCTAGATGACAGGCAAAGATACACCTTCTCTATCCTCCCCACCCACCCCCCACCCCCGGCCAGTTCCCCAGCCTAGACTAGGGAAGATAGCATTTTGCCTGGCTAAAATAACCCTGACTCCCAGACCAGCCTAAAGAGCTGCATTTGTACCCCGTGTAGGAGCTCCAGAAATTTGAGGGAGGGGGGAACAGGTAGAGGAGAGCTTCCAGGAGAAGACTATGAAGTTGTGCTGGGCCAGGCATGGAGGTCCCCAAGGGGTCCAGTGTGGCTCTAGCCCCCAAGGCACTTGTGAAAGTCAGGAAGAAAAGACTCCTTGGGAATGGATGGCACAGGACACCAGAGAAAACGAGGCCAGTGGAATAGTATAACAGGACTTTGGATGTTGAGAGGGGAGTGGCACAGCCCTCAGGGGCTCCCAGTTTCTGCATGCAAGTTCACACATGTGCACACACACGCATGCACAATCAGAAAAAGGCCTCCAGAAACTGCCCTGACCTGGTCCTGCTTTCAGTTTGTGGAAATCCACTTGCATGGATGCCAGGGGGCAAGAGGGACTGTCCCCTGGCCAGCCAAGTACTTCCAGGGCCCGTCCATACTCCTCTGCCCCTCTCAGGGTAGAAT